GATTCGTGGGGCATGGGGATGGGTGCTGCGAGTGGTGCAGACGCCAGGCCGGGTTCTGCCGGCCCCATGCTGCAGGTTTCCCCTCCTGCGAGCCCGGGTTGTCCCCTGGCAGCAGAGCAGGACGGTGCTGCGGCTTTGCAGGCTGTGCCTGTACCGGTGCCTCGGTCCCCCCTGGTGCTGGAGGCAGGTCGTGCCGAGCTGGCTCCAACCCACCCCGCCTCGGGTTCCCAGGCATCACCCGAGCCTGCGCCTGGAGGCAGCCCTCCCCCATCGCCTCCTGCGGCCGCGGCGGCTCGGGGTCCTGCGCTGTTTACCATTGGCTCCGGTGGTGCTGCTGTGGGGGCAAAGCCGGTGGCCTCCACAGGCAAAGGGTCCCAGGCTGCTGGAGCTTCTTCAGCTGGCCTGTGGACTTTGTCCTCCTGTCAGATGACTGTGCAGCTGAGCGTATCAGGCATTCCATGTGCTTCCGAATGCTTTGGTCTGGTGGGTGAGGGCATGAGTGCTCTTCTTGTGGCGTGGTTGAATACCACTGCTCAAGGCACCATTGTTCACCTAGGGGACATTGATTCAGATTTCCTGGGGTGCATTTCTGCCATGGGTTCCATGCTCACCCCTCCTGTTCCTATCCCTGTGGGACCTGGATTTGCTCACCTTGTGCCTTTTGAGTCTTGTGTTCGCAGAGCTGAGAACCAGCTGTGGGGAGATGGTGGCTTCGGGTTCCCTGGACCTCCCTGGGTTCACAGACTGCTGTTCTGACAGCCAGGGATCATCCTGAATGGGTCTGCACCCGGTCCATCCTTGGTGAGATGCTGTCAGAGATCAGCTTCCGTGAGTTTTGACACTGGCATGGACATCACGATTGTCAGGTTTGCTGACAGGCCCCCGGAGTGACCCTTGGACCCGATGCTGACACATTCTATGCAAAGAAGAAATTGAGACTGACTATTTGTTCATCAGATTCTGTTGTCCTTTCTCATGATAGACTAGTCACCCTCTGTGACTTGATGCAGGAACAGTTGCATCATGGTGATCTGGAGCTTCGACCAGTCCCTGGGACATTCCTGTTTTCTGTATCAAGACGAAGTCTGGGAAATGGAGGCTGCAACAATACCTCCAGAAAGTTCATGCTATGATGGAAAGCATGAGGATGTTGCAGGCTAGCATGCCTTCACCTGCCATGCTTCCTGCTGATTGGCTAGTCCTCATCGTGGATCTGAAGGATTGTTTCTTTACAATTCCTTTGCATCCCCATGACAGACTGAAATTTGCCTTTCTGGTGCCAGCTATCATTAATGCTGAGCCTACACAGAGATATCAGTGGAGATTTTACCATAAGGCATGTAAAATTTGCCGGCATTTGCCAATGATATGGAGCTGCAAGTGACTCCAGAAACAACCTCCTTGAAATTATTTGAGGGTCAAAATAATTTTTGGGACAAACAGTCCCGCATCTGGAGGTGCAATTATTTTTTTTTTGCATTCAGTGCAGACACTGCATGAATGATGTCCAGATATTAATGGACTTTTACATGGTTGTGTCCCTATATGGGACTGACCACGACACAACTGTCTCCCTTGTTTGGTCTGTTAAAGGGGGACTCTGATTTAAAGTTACCTCTGACACTGACCCCACAGGCACAGTAGATGCTGGAGGAGGTTCTGCAAGCAGTTTCTGCTCATCAAGTTTATTACATTAATCTTTCCATTGATGTCACTGTTTTTTTTCATTGCCACTCCAGATTTGCATTCCACAGGTATCATTGGCCAATGAAAACACTTGAAAGGCCATTGCTACCTGGAAGGATGGATCTGAGTGGCAGGTTTTAGAGAGTCATGAGGCTGGATCAGCCCAATTGATAGAATTACAGACTGCTGTCATAGCATTTAATAAGTTTTCCCAGGCACCTTTCAATTTGGCCATGGATTCTGCCTCTGTGACCAAAGAGGGAGCCATCCACAAGCAGCTGTTGATGTTGGACATTTGTTTAATTTATTTTTTTGGGGTTTTGTTGGTTTTGGTTTTTTTGGGTTTTTTTTGTAATAACGAAAGGGTGAGATATCACCCTGAAATTACAGCCTTCTGATTGTATAGAGTATTGTATTTTCCTATTATTTATCCTTTTGATTGTTTATAATGTTGCTAGTTTCTTTGTTCATTTTTCTTTTTCCTTTTCTTTTTGTTTAAACCAAAAAGGGTGAGATGTCGCCCTGAAAACTCAGCTTCTGAGCTTGCTGACATGGTTTTCTAAAGACTTTCCCAGGACAGTAACTGTAAACATAGATATGTGTACATTCTTTCTGTTACACGTCTTGTGATGGACATCTCCCATGGCCAGTGCAGTGAGAAAGTGTTATCCTGACCATCCAATTCCTGGCCGTGGTCAGAAACCTATAAATCCTGGGAGGAAAAATAAACTCTCTCTTCTTTTCACCACACCTCGACCTGTGTCCATGTGATCTATTCAGCACCAGTGGCAACAGTTTGGTATCCCCACACCACAGATGCTGAGGAATGTTTTTGCAGAACCATGATTAGGACTTTTCTTGTTAGCAGTTAATATTTAATTCTTCATGTTTCTCTCATTTGCCTTGTTTTATTACAAAACAAAAAGAAAAAAAAAAATAGCACATCTATGCCCTAATGTCCCATATATATGGCTCAGCTTTATCGAATACCCATATCTACTTGTCTGACTGCCCATCTGCTTGTCTATCTGGATCCACAGAAATCTATACAAACCAGACCTATACAACTGGATACACTGGCAACACCAGCATACAGTATTTCTGTAACACAGCTAAAACTTTCAGCTTATCATCTCAGACCTTTTTTCACCAGATTAAAATTCATATTGCACTTAGTGTTGTTTTTTTTCTTTATTCTCTTTTTTTTTCTCCTCCAACGTGATTTTTCATACAAAGCACCTTGGGTTGTGTGAAGTCAAAGATGTCTTTGTCCTGTGCACATGCGAGTTGTGCACTACAGAACTGCTGAGGACACATTCCAGAACAGGCATTAAAGTACTATATCCCCTGGGCCAGCTGAGAATAAACTAAAAGTAGAGCTGGCAAGAATTATTCTGTGTTTTCTTCTGTGAAATATTTCAACATGGTCTTTAAAGAATCAACCAAACACTCCCAAAGCAAATTAAGCAGATGACATCCTTCCCTCTTGACTTCATTCCCTTAAACACTGAATTTCTAGGGTCAGATTCCCAACTCCAGTGGAGATACAGTGACTGAAAATCAGTGGTTGTCAGCAGAATAAGAATAAATAACACTCTATCAAGGAGGGACTCAACATCCTGGCTTTGAGAACACTTTACAAAGAAGGTCACGGTCTCTAATAGTAGGAAAGCAGTTTGGACTACCAACCTGCAAAATTTGTTCAACTGAATTCATATTAAGAGCCTCTTTTGTCCCAGTGCCTTTGTCTGGATATGCTGGCTGTCCTTATTTTAGGAAATCAAACTCCAATTATGGTTCTTAAAATAACCGAAAACGGAACATAAAAGCTTTACCTTTCAGATTAAAAAACTTTATGAAAATACACCAAGAGGAAACTGAACAATCCAAAATATACAATGTTAATTTTCTATGGCTATTCCAGATAAGTATTAGAAATGCACAGGCTACTTTTCAATGTTGGTATCAATATCAAAAGACTGGAAAATCTTAAAACACTGAAAGGCCATCTGTGCATGCTAGCAATTGCCAAATTTGCAAGTGTGGTTTCTTCCTTGCTAATTCCATATTTTCCTGATAGATTAATGGGCATCATTTATCCAGAACAAATAAATGTGGAAGGCCCGCCTTTCCCCTTCCCTGTACCTCATCATATTACTGATTATCACCAGACCACTGAGCACATTAATGCAAGTAAGCCTCTGTCTAGATTCAGAAATTATCACATTTGGTAGAGAAGAAGTGTTTGGCATTGCCAGTTTCTTAACATTGAAGTTAAAAAGAAATATATTCAGAGAACTCCAGACAACAATCAACACAGAGAAAGTGCAGTTGAAGGATTTTTCTTTCCTTTCCCTGACTTAAATGTAACCTATGTTCAAGAAAGCATAGATATTTTACACACACAGCTACTCTTTTTTTCACCATGTGCATTTATCTTATTTCTTTTGAGAGGTATGTCAGACACATATATTTAGACTCCCAGCTTGCTAATTTATGCCAGCTAGTGTAAAATTATAGGGTAGGGAATAAAGTTGCAGAATCAAACCTTTATATGTGCTTTGAAGGAAAATTTTCTACTATATACACTCAGGCTTCCACAATCCACAATCTGCTAATCTTTCCATTTAGTGATTTGCATTCCTGTGTGCACACACATGCATTCACAAACATACATCCTTCACACAAGGGAATGGTATCTCAATGAGCTCTCACATTATTCAGACTACACTGATTCCTATAAAATGTTAATGTAGCTGTGCCTCCTTTTATCTAACAGCATGTTTAATCTACAAAACGTCTAACTACACATATCTAACACATTATCTGTCACTAGAATGATTTCACTGTGTGTTCATGGGGTGATAATTGCAAATTTGGAATGCAAATAGTATATAACCTTGTTAAATACATTTCTTTAAGAAGAAGAGATATGCCTTTGCTATATGTTTGCTGTCCCCAGTCACTGTAGCTACAGGTTTTGCTGAGAGGTATAAGTTGATAAAGACTGTTGGTGCATTTGCTGACATCTTATCCTGAATGAAATTATCATGACATACTACAGCTAAAAAAATAAATTGCTAAGAACTGGGCTTCCTATTGGCAAGACACGAGAAATGTGCATGCCAAGAGAAGTGTGCACTCCATGGATTTGTAGGAGCAAGGCAGAGCATTGCCGCTGTGCAAGCTCTGACAGAGATGTCTGTTGAAGATCTTTGCTACTTTTGTAATAGTCTCTGTCATCTCTCCTTCTCTGTAAATACATATTAATTTATAAACAAAGCCTGGAAATTCCTCAAAGTGAAGCCCAAGGACAACACCCACACAAAAGACACACACAGACAGAAAAGGAAGATAGAGCAGCATAGGTTCACCTTCAGCCCAAAGAACTGAAACATGAACAAAGATGAAGCAATTTGTTTTTATTTTCTACTAAGCAGTATTCCACTACTTCCTACACCAATGCTTCTAAATTAGCAATATGAAAGTTAAATTAACTTAAAAAAAATTACTAAAAAAATCAAGGAAAAAATGTAATCTTCTCTCCAAGATATTTTTCTCTACCTTATTTATTTTTCTAAAAACAGATGCAAAAAGTGGCTGTCTTATACTTTTTAAATATCTTTCAAAAGCCTGGACCTCTCTGGAAACATTTTGGGTTTTTATTCCATTGCTTGCAACACTCTGTGCTAGATTTACTTGTTATTTGCTTAACTTTTGCTTTATAAAATGATCCTTTTTTGATGCAATTTCTTTATATTTACATCAGCGTGATAAGCAAAGTCAATCACATATAACCATAAATGAATGAGAATATGAAACAGAAACTTTAATTGTTACTTAAGTAATGAACACTGGTATTAGTTAAGTGAAAACTTAATGGGCTTAGTGGGACTTAAAGAGATGATGAAGTATTTTTGAAACAGGATTATTTCCTGTTTATGGCTTTTACAGCCCTGACTGGGTCTAAAGTGACAAGCATCAAGCTGTAACATTCAAGAAGAAATAATATATTCACAGCTTTAGAAACACTGACTGCTCCTGC